CAGTTCCAGGTCTCAAGAGTGACCAAGAACCATTGTTTCAGGCTCCATCCTTCCTTATCTGACCAATAAGCCTGATCCTTTTTTATGATTTTGACATTCATTCTACATTGTCTCCCATTCCAGGACCTTCTAATGTGATTCCTTTAAGAGCAGTTGGTAGTAGTAGCCAGGTACCATCGAATTCCTCTAGTATTAGGGTCACAGACACTGATGTTTGTGCGCTCCATTAGTCCATTGGACTAATTGTTTCCAACTGTCTTAAATTTTTACCACTCCTCTTTCCTCCAGGCAGGGAAAGACCACTATTTGTACCTTAGATGAACCAGTCATGAGCTTTTAAGATCTAAGTTGCTACTCAGCAAAGTACTATGCAGAACATTATCTCTGTGGACTATGCATGCCAATTGTGTTAGAAATCTATTCTTGATATGGTCTCTAAATTCAGGTTAAGTATACTCAAGGTTGTATTTTGGCTCTCATTGATTTAAGTTTCTTCAGCTTTAACTTGAACTTGCATATGAGCAATTGATGGTCTGTTCTGCAATCAGCTAGTCCCTGGCCTTGTTTTGACTGATGAAATATCACTGTCTTTTTACACAGACGTGGTCAATTTGATTCCTGTGTATTCTGTCCGGCAAGGCCCATGTATACAGTCGCCATTTTGTTTGTGAAAAATGGCATTTGCAATGAATAAGTCAACAGCTATGCAAATTTCTCTCATGTGATCTCCTGTCATTTCTTTCACCAAAGCCTTATTTTCCAACCATTGATCCTTGTTTTTTGTTTATAAGTTTTGCATTCTAATCACCAGTAATTAACTATATGTATTAACAGCATGTTGGATTAATTTCAGACTGCAAAGTTGGTAAAAATCAATTTCCTCACCTTTGGTATTAGAGGTTGGTGGATACATTGGAATAATAATCACATTTAATTGTCTTCCTTGTAGGAACATGGATATATCCTATCATTGAGTATGCTGTACTTCAGGACAGGTCTTGAATTTTTTTCAACAATGAATATGAAATCCACCATTCCTCAATTCTTCATAGTGGACATATGATTGTTTGATTCAAAATGGCCAATACCAGTTCATTTCAGCTCACTAAAATCTAGGATATCAATCCATTCCATTTTTGACAACTTCCAATTTTCCTAGATTCATACTTCATACATTCTAGCTCCAATTACTAATGTTTACAGATGCTGCTTCTCAATTCATGTCACATCAGCAAATGACGGTCCCAAAAGCTTTGCTCCATCCATATCGTTCAGGATGAATGAATCTACTTTAATGGAGGTCCTGGGGTGCAGCTGTAGGATAAACCCTGGACTGCTAACTGCAAGGCTGCTGGTTCAAACTCACCAGCCACTTTTAGAGAAACTCTATACAGAGACACTATGAGTCAGAACTAACTCAACAACAACTACTTTGAGGAGGCATCTTTTCCATAGTCATATTTTGAGTGCCTTCCAAACTGAGGGGCTCATCTTCTGGCACTATATACCTGGTGTTCAAAAGGTTTCAGTGGCTAATTTTTCAGAAGTGGACTGTTCTTCTTTCTTCCTAGCCTTAGTTGGAAGCTCCGTTGGATCCTCCAGGTTCATTATGGGTGACCCTGATGGTATTTTAAATACTAGCAGCATAGCGTCCAGCATCACAGCAACATGCAACCCAATACAATACAACAAACAGGCAGAGGAGTGGTGATCTAACTCATATGTGACCCTGTATGTTAAAGCAGAACTTCCCCACAGGGTTTCTAAGGCTGCAGTCTTTACAGAAGCAGACTACCACAGCTTCCTCCTGTGTAGTGACTGGTGGGTTTGAACTGTCAACCTTGAAGTTAATAGTTGAGCACTTAACCACTGTGTCACTAGGGTGCTTGTCACATGTTACCATGTTCTCTAAGTTATCATATGAAAACACAATTCCAGAGCCAGTCCCAGGCAAAATCATCTTTAGTACCCAGAGCATGGCTTTCCTCCCCCATTCCCTATCCCTGCCACCCACCATCTGTTTCCTACATGCCTCTCTTTTGGGGGAAAAGTTTGGCAACCATGATTCAAACCTCTCCTATCTCCCTTCTTCCTTCATCTAGCAACGTTTGCAATATGTTGTGACCTAGTCTTTCATGGCCTAGTTTGTGAATCTAAGTCGATAACATCTATATTTTAATCAATCGTAGTCATCACTGTTCACTTATTCAACAAACATTAATTGGGCACCTATTAGGGCCCAAGTATCATTCCAGGTGCTACAGAGAAAGTGATGAACTAACAAGTCAAAATCTGTCTTTCCATGTAGCGGAAGAGAAATATATAAGCGAAGTTTGGCCTGGCCCCTTCAGTGATCAATACTAAGAAGAATTACATAGGAAAAGGTGATAGAGAGTTCTGGGGACGTGGGTGCAAGGGAATCATATCAAGACTTTACAGCTTCTATTCAAATGCGAATAGACTCTTGGAAATATTCTCCCAAATCATCCTAAAATATAACAAAACAAAGCTCTCTAGTACAATACAGGTGGTTATTTATACTTACTGTTCTTGGTTTTTCCCCTCTAAATTTAAGGTGTCCCATCTGCACTACAAAAACAAACGAAGCCCACACTGCATAAAAAATGGTTTAAGAGATTATACAGAAACATATTCTTCTCTAAAATGACTTTCTATCCAATAAGATGACTGAAAACATAATTTTACTTGTTGAGTAGAAATTAAGATATATTTTAAGACTATATGGATGGAACAAAAGGCAAGCCATTTTTAAGAGAGGGAAATTTAAGTAAAAAGCATACGTAGCCGGAGTTATTGAGAAAAGGAGTTATGGGTAGGGTAAATGACAAGATACCATTCCAAAACTATAACAGTTTCCCTTTTTATTAATGGTCAAAGAGTAAACTTTGAATGACATTGAATAAGTAAGACACAAATGAAAACATCTAATTTGCATGTAAACTGTCTGTAAACATATATTTTATAAGGATTTAATCATCTTAATTTAAGTATGAGGGAAACAATTGGTTCTTTGGCCTCAAAAATAAATTCACTGTTTGAATTACTGTTTCTAACTTAGAATGTTTTACATCTAACAAGAAGAGAGTCATGGACAACCAAGGTCAGGGTAGTCACTAGATTTCATGCGAGGGTTTAAGTAGAGTTTATAAGCAATAATCTGTATAATAAAATATGTTTACTTTTAAATCACAGCACAGTCATTTTCTTCAATCAATAAAAATAGACTTTGATTATAAAGCAGCCTTATTTTGCAAATGTATTTCAGCAAAATAGCTCTAGCAATCTTTGAAATACCACCCTTAAAAAAAAAAAGGCAACAAAGCAACAGGATTTAGATTAAAAATAGTATATTGCAAAATAGTTCAGCATATTATTTCTAAGCACAAAGAGAGCTCCATTCTTTAGGATACTTTTAATCTTATAAAGGAAACTGTTCCAATATTTCTGTGATAACACAAAGTTTAAATATCTACAAGGAAAGATAAATCTTTTACACATACAGAACACAAAGTTCAGTTCGTATCTGCAATATAAGTTCTTTCATTCCTACATCATTCCATTATAACGCTCAGATCTGTTAACATGCGCACAGGAAGGAAAACACGATCCAGTTCAGCAGCTTCATAGCCAGTTGAACTCTGCAACAATTAGAAATATAAAAACAGCAACTACAGCAAGCACAACGCTTGTTTTATGAAGAATAAAACCCAAAACAAGAAATCATAAACACATGAATTAGCACATTCTTCTGAACACATCTTATTTTGCTCTCTTATAACAAATACATTTTTTAAAAATGCTTTTTTTCATATCCCAGGAGGAAATTAAGACAAATTCTCCATAAAGTTGAAAGTGCATCATGTTTTAAAACACGTGTGTGTGTGTGTGTGTTTTACAGAATAAATCCAAAAAGAAAGCTAAACAATTATGTGCAAAAAAAGTTCTAATTATGACTTGAATCCATAAATGTTAACTACAGGTTTTTGGAGTCATCTAGACAAGGCAGTCAAGCAGCACAGAAGAAAATCTGAGATTACACACATTGTCTAGAGGAAAGAGCACTGAGCCACGAGACAGTTCCATCCTCAGCTCTGCCAACCACCTAGTTAAGTGGTCCAGGTAAGGACAACTGCTTCAGATTTGCATTTCCTTAGCTGGCAGAGGGGGCGAGGCTGCATTAGAGGACCTCTGAAACTCCAGCCAACCCTGACATTCTAACAAAGCTTTAGAGGAGGCATCCCCAAAACGGCAAATAATTTACAGGAAAATATGAAAAAACTCTAGCTATAATTCTCATCTTGTACTTACTGATAATAAACCACAAAAAGAGATTATAAGCCCCATAAATACATATCAGAAAAAGAGCAATGAGAATAGCGTTATGTTAATCAAAGCCAATGAAAGCCTTCCCAATTATTGGTACAACAGACAGTCCAGTATCGTGTGCAAAAACTAAACAGAACAATAAACAAAGTAATAATTCAGCTGGTCACCTAATGGCACATTTTCTAAGTACTAGAATTTTCTTGGTTATAAAGCTTTGCAGATTTCTTGTTTTGAAATTGTATTAAGAGAACCGTGGCAATGTAGCATTTCGAACCCACAAGTTAAGAATTTCTTAGGAGAAATTCTTAGGTTGTGAATATCAGTCAGAAGTCATATTTTAAGGATTCTCTGACTTGTTAACAATAGTTTTTATGAAGGTAACTGCATTTTCAAAATTTAAATAATGGCTAAAGTCAACTTGCGATGGACTCTCATTTTATTTATAGATATATACTGTTGTTGTTTAGTGCCATTGAGTCAGTTCTGACGCATACCAACTCCATTTAGGGTTTCCGAGGAGCGATATGTATACATACACACACATACACACACACATATATAATGTACTAACTGTAGCCTGTTGTGTATATATACACATACACTATATAGTAGACTAGTATACTACAGCTCATTTAACTGTTGAGAAGTTTAACTCAACAATTTGCATCCACAAGCTTTGACCCATTAATTCCCCGGTAGGTTACTCTGCTTGGTCTAACTAAGACTCCGTAGTTTGGCTTACAAGTAAAGTATCGTTTGTCACCCACGGCTCCATCATTTTTTCCCTTGGCACTTCGAAGCTCAAGTCCAATCCAGACACCTGAAGCAAAGTCCGTGGGGCCCACATACCTAACAATACCCATCTCATTAGAACTCGTGAGGAGGACCTGAGAGCCCTCTTGCAGCTTCACGCTCCCTTCAATAGTAGTGGTAGTGCTGCTCCAACTACGACGCAAATTAGTCTTTGATCTGTTCAGAGGGAAAAAGAGAAAATCTTTGGTGTCAAAGCCATAGTTTTTCACATTCATGTCCACTGCCAGATTCAGCACTCATTGTTTTAATTCACAAAAGATAATATTATATGATGATTTTTTTAGATTCTATATAGCAGTAAATACACTTTGGTTTATTATTTTAAAAGTCCTTTTCTTTTGAATTGTTTAATACATAATCTGGATTTCAGACTTCACCTGTAATTTCTAAATAAACATATGCATTCATTAAATAACAAGTAGAAAAATACACATACCTATTTAGCCACTATCAATACAGTCAAATAAACCAAAATTAAACTATTAATCCACAACTATGGAAAATTAATTTCATATGCTCATATAGTTGATATATGAACTCCAATTACACTTAAGAGCTTAATAACAACCCTCCCAGCCACTAAAATTGCAGAAGGTTTCAGTTGCCTTGAGTGAGGAGCCCTGCTGGCACAACAGTTAAGAGCTCAGCTGATAGCCAAAAGGTTGGCAGTTCAAATCCACCCAGAAGATCCATAGGACCCAAAGGATCCACAGGCAAAAGACCTGACAATTTGCTGCCTTAAAGATTACAGCCTAGAAAACTTCTTATGATGCAATTCTACTCAGTCACATCCATCACTGTGAATCGAAATCCACTCACACCTAATAATTCTTGAGTAGGATTTGTCTCTTTTTCACTACAACAAAATGTTACTTATAATATCCTAAGGAAGTCTCCTACCACTTGCCAATAATCTGACCTTACAGCAAAACTACTTGAGACCCCAAATAAACTCATCTAGGGCCTCAGAGTTAGTACTTCCCAAGAACTTCCTTTACTGCCAAGGGGAAATAGCTGGCCTGATATTCACCCACAACATAAATATTATCCAGGATCTGATTGCCCTATGCCCTGAAATCACCAAAAACCATTCTCCAGAAAATACTACCAGTGCTACCTCGACCCTCCCATCGTCCAGCTCATCCCACCTTGCCCACCCCTCCCTCCCTCCTCCAAAAGAAATCCCTACAGTAGATACAAAAAAGAGCCTGTTACCAAAACTGCACAAGGCCTTACATTGATCAGAGTCTACATCATGTTTAGTTTACATTTTATCTCACTTTCTGTATGTTTTCAAACATCATTACATACAGTGTCTCATTTGCTTCTAAACCTCCTGGTTTAAAAAGGAAAAACAGTTATCAATCACTCCAATTTGATAAATGAGAAAATTGAAATTCAGAGACTAGTCCAAAAGCCATACTTAGCACTTTTAGAGAATTGTAGGTTAGAAAATACAATGGAAAAATTATTTACTACGTCAAAGTCACAAATACAATAAAAATGTTAACAAAGAACTATGTGATACCTATAGGAAAAATTACGAAGAACATAAAATTTACTGGAGAATATAAAAAAGAAAAATGAAAGACAATTACTCCTGGATAAAAGCACATATAAAGTCAATTCTCCCCAAATTCACCCTCAACGGTATGTTTTTGCAACCTCACGAACTCACTCTAAATTTCACATAAATAATGATCACAGTTATCACTTACTGCATGCACCAAACCCTTTACACACATTCTTTCATTCAATCTCACGCAAACCTACAAAGCAAGCATTGCTAACTCCTTCTAACAGAAGAGGAATCTGAGGCACAGAGTGAAGCTATTTGCCTCAGAGAAGCGATAAAGAACAGAGATGGGATTCAAACCCAGGGCTGTCCAAGTTACTCATTGCCATAATGAGAATATGTAGCTAAGAAAGTGTCAAAAAAACGATAAGGAAAGATTTACATAGCCATTATGTATTAAAATATAATAAAGTTGTTGTTAAGTGCCATTGAGTCGGTTGTGACCCAAGGCGACCCAGTATAGGGTTTTCAAAGAGTGGCTGGTGAGCTTGAAATGCCAAGTTAATAGTTCAAATGACTTTGAAGTCCAGCGCATTAACCCACAGCTCCACACCAGGTTACAAACATTAAAACAACATGGCTCTGGCACAATAAAGTACTTTTAAATGATAATGAAATCTTATAAAAGTAAACATCATTATTTCATGTGCGATAAAAAACATAAGAGCTTCAAATGAGTGGAAAAGGAAGAAACATTCTGTTATAAGGATGTGAAAATTAGCTAACTGCTTGTAGGGAAAATCAGATTTTTACCACACACTGTGGCACTGTATGATCAACACTGGACTGTGAACCATAAGGTCAGCATTTCAAACCTACCAGCTGCTGTTCAAAAACCCTATACAGGGTCACTGTGAGTTGGAATTGACTCAAGGTGTGGCACTGTAGACTAAGCACTCAACCACAAGGTCAGTTTGAACCTCAAGGTCAGCGGTTCAAATTCACCAATCATTCCTCAGAAACCCTATACAGGGTTGTTATGGATAAGAACCAACTCGATGGCACTTAACAACACACACATACACACATGTATGTATATGTATATAGCTATATAACTACATATCTGTGTATGTGTATATGTAAGTATGTATGTGAATGTATGTGTATATGTGTGTATGTGTGTATGTGTGTGTATATATATATATATATATATATTGTTGTTGCTAAGGGCCATCGAGTCGGGATCCGACTCATAGTGATCCTGTACAGGGTTTCCAAGGAGCAGCTGGTGAGTTAGAACTGCCGGCCTTCCCGGCCCACACCGATGTTGCACTTTACTGCATTAACCAGCAACACCACACCAGAAGTCTGTGTATATATATATTTGTCTGTGTGTGTATTTATATATCACACACACACACACACATAT